CCCGGCCCGGCCCGGCCCGCGTTCCGCCGCGCGCGGCACCGCGGCCGCCCCTCTGCCGGCCTGCCTCTGCTGGGCTGGTTTGCTTCTTAGCTTCCAAAATGGGTTTGCTGCCAGTGTTCTGAAAGACTTAGTATTTACCCGAAGGGCAAAAGTTTTATGGGGAAGTATTTTTGCCTTAGCTAACAATCTTCATTAAGCACTAACCAAGACACTAATTCCAGCATCAGGAGGAAGACATGACGCAACAACCACTGGTAGAATTTATAAGCAAGTTGACTGCACTGTATTGCAAGGCAAGTAGAAAGATTTTCAGTCAGGAAGAACTATACATGCCTGTGATTCAAAGAGGAAACAGATGTTTTAATGATGATAAAGGGATTTTAATGCTATATGATTGTCTTTCAGACGGCCACATTTGAGAACCTCCCATACAAAAACATTCTACAGCATTTACGCATATCTTTAATAAATGATTACTGAATTGCCGTATGAATGAGCATTTTTTTTCAGGTCACTTGAAAGTATATAAATAAATAAGTTCTAGGACAAACCAACCATAGAAGAAAAATATGCCTTCATTATGTTCTTCAAATCAGGCTAAGAAAGAACTGTTCCTTTGATACAGGAAGAAAATACATCACCTTGCTCAAAATACTTATGTAAGAAAACATGACCATAAAAATACCATTTCTATGACTTGCCTGTTTTGCAAATATGAAGAAGTGCTAAACTCATATTACTTCATCACTACTCTCTCTGTCTGATTTTCATTTTTCTCGTAGCTCTGTTAGTCCTCACTTGACATTTATTTATGTAAAAACATAGCATCTGGTAGTTGTCACAGTATTTTGCAAACAAGCATTTTGAGTTTAACAGTCTATAATGTGTATTGATTACTCACCATATCCATGAATGCCTCCTAAAGGGGAAATTATTCACATGCATCATGTTCACAGGTCTTCCAACATTAGTGTTTTCCTTGTCAGACTGATTTATCTGTTATGGTATTCATAGATGCATGCCAGAACAACTGCATGAGCAGTCAACAGCAGGGATTATTGCAATTACTGTAATCCACAAAAATAAAAATTCCCAGGATCCAGTGAAAGACTTCTCACAGGGTTTTCTAGGTACACGTCCATCCATTTATGCATCACTTGCTATTTTAAAAAAAACATTAAACTAATCAGTATACAGAAACTGTTCTGACAATGCCAACAGTTTGCCTTGATAAAAATCCAAGTGCTTTGACTGTGAATTAAAGCATCTTCATATGCAGCATTTTGGACAGTTGGAAAAGGTTAGTTAAAAGATAGTTTCTTGCCATCTGTGCCAAATCAGTGTTTAGGGAGAGATGTGTAACTTCAGACTGCTTTGCCATGTTCAGAAATGAATACTGCTTTTTCTTCTTTCTTAGACACATATTCATCAATGATCAATTTAATGCAGTTTTCCTTTCTTACGAGCCTGGGGAACAGAAGGATGTTTAATAGCCTTGTACAACAATCCCAAACTTCTTTCTGAATTTGATACTGTGACTTTGTTTCTTTTTTTTCAGCTAAGAAAGAAGGAAGGAAGTATGTTTTTTCCACTACATAGGACAGGACTACAGTTAGATACCATCAAGGGATATGATCATGTCATGATCAAATTAATTTTTGCTGTCTAACCCCGTAATAAGGCTGCCTGCTCCCTTTAAGTGAAATGACTAAGCTATTGACTCTCACTGCAGAGTCTAGTTCTGTTTTGATATTATACTGTATATAAACCCACGTGCATCAATTTGTACGTTGCAAAACGAAAGCAAAGCTATAAGTCCCATGTTACCTAAGCATTCTTTCTCTGCTGTCCTTTTTTCCCAATTCAGCTCCCAGACAGTAGTTATCACTTCTTACGCTCTGGCAAACATCCTCGGGAAGATTCTTAAGCCCAGGCTACAGAGACGGCATCTATTTTGAAGCAATGCAGAGTCAACAGGCTCACACTTCCCTTTCCCGGACCAGAATTTCCAGCCTGCCCTCGGGCTGCTGGTCTCCTCGCCCAGCAGCAGCAGCAGCAGCAGCAGCAGCAGCAGCAGCAGCCGCGGCAGCCCCGGACAGTGTCGGGCTGCGTGGCACTGGTCCTGCAGCAGACTGGGCTCGGCTGCGGAGAGGGCTCTGCCTGGCAGAGACTGTGCTGGCGTCAAGGGGGCCCTCTAGGTGGGTTCTCCCGGCACCGCGCAACCTGCCCTGCCTCTCCCACCCGCCCGGGATGGAGGGGAAGGACGGGGCACTAGCGGAAGAGCCTTCCTTAGGACGGTCCGTGCCTCCAGGACGACAGAAAGCACTGAAAATTTTGCATGGAAGTGCAAAAATCTGCAGGAAAAGAGACGCGCAGGAAGCAGAGTTCACCATGTTGATCTGTACTGAGATGTAAAAGATTCCTAGACTTTTATACTTCAGGATACCCAGGGCATACATTGTTTGCTTGCCATTCTTCTAAATGGTTTACACTGTACTAAGGCTTCTTAAACTTCTAACGACCCATTGCCCTTTTGGACAGGAAATCCTGCAGTATGGAAGCCAGCTGCAACCTCAATGACATTAAAACGTGTGATAAGACTTTGTATTTGATTAGGGTGTGGGTGAACTTGGGAGTAACATGATAAGCTATTGCACGTCACATTTGTATAGATCCTATTTCCTTAAGATCATTTCTGATGCTTGTCACAACCCTATTCTACAATACCCGAAATTAGCCCTAGTCGAGTTGATGCCACTCTGAAGAAAGAATAAAATATTAAAGTACTTGAATGTCACAGTGTATTGACAGTGAAATGGCATTTATTTCAATTCAGTAATAAAAAGGGAGCCTACACTGCCACACACATTTTTAAATTACTCAATATTTGTGTATTACTGATACCACTAACTATTTGAAGACAGAGCACAAAAGTACAACAGATTACAAAATTTAAAGGGGCTCTAGCATAACTTATGTTCTACTACTCTATACAGGTGACTTTTTTTTTTTTTTTTGTCATTTAAGTACAACAAGTACAACCATGACAGAAAGCATACTCTGAGAATTAGAAATAATGAGAATGAAAGTTAGCATTTTTCACAAAGATGCTACAAAACAAAATATATAATTATTCAGTAAAGATAAATATTTAGTATGACTTTTAAGGGACCAGGTAAGCTGCTATAACTATGTTATGTTCATGCTTTATGTAAAAAGCAGCCCTATACCACACCTCCAATTAGTTTGGGAATTTTTACCAGAGACATTTAAAGAGAATATAAGCTAAACTCTAAAAGCTACAACATTGTGTGATTAATCTGAATATGAAAAAAAAAATCCTATCCCAGTTATCTAGTGCTTTCTCTAAGCTAGATGAACTTATTATGTAATATTAACTGTAGCAAATGATACACAAATCTGCACCATCATTACTATTTCATATTGCACTTATCTCACTGCATGCTTGCCCGATCACTCATAGGCGCTGACATTTTCAATACTAGACTTACATAGTGACTTGTACTATCTTGAGAAATAGCTTGTCAGCACTGACCTGTCACTTATAACATTTGAAATCTGTGAATGAGTCTATTCTGCATATGTGTTACAATTTCTCTGTTTTTCTTTAGTGCTAAGTTCAGCACAAACCATAGCACCAATTGACTCAGCTAATTTCATTCAGAAGCAGAGTTGCAGAAGGAGTGTGGGCGTATATAAAGTTACTATACAGTATTACAAACCAGTTAAAGAACTCACCAGCAAAATGGAGTGCAAAATATATGGGCTTTCCAGAGCAGGGATAAATTAAAGCTAGAGACTTTTCCCAGTAAAATAGGTTGGCTTGTGAAATTCTTCGTGTTCAAGCCCATAATAACTTGCCAACCACTCTGCATTTAAAAAAAAAACCTAAAAAACCCAAAAGAACAACAACAAATCAAAAGCAACAACAACAAAAAACAACAAACAAACAAAATTGGAAGCAGATTTTCATCTGATTCCTTGTTTACCAGAAGAATGCTCTAACTACTAGAATTTAAGCTATACGACAGTGAGTCCGTCTTCCTCATTCAAGCAGAATCTCAGCTAGGCATGAAGAAGTTGGAGGGTAGGTAACATAGATGCAAACAGGAATCTACAAGTGATTATGACTCTTCCCTGATGTGGAGGAGCCCTAGACTCCAGTCATTATACAAAGACGTCTTGACTATTTTCCACTGAATTAGTCCAGAAAAAGTATATTTGTAGTAGGAACCGGATTATCTGGAACCATTTCTCACTTCTAATAATAGTTGAATTGAACTACAGAGTGAGGGTCTATCCTCTTGCTCTCTCTTAAGAGTCTTGGGAATCTTTCAGTTCTTGTTGCCCAGTGAAATATCTAAAGAGGGAGGATTAAAGAATATGTCCTATTAACCTTATTATTAACACTGCAGAGTTGCAAACACCTTTCCATTCTGTTGTTTTGGAGAAGATAAACCAAAGAGAGGATTATTTGCATCTCCATTTCCATGCAGTCTTCCTCCCACACCACTCAGATTTTCAATTACTAGCCATACCAGAAAATTCACTTAAAAATTGACTAAGGTCTATGGCTGTTAAATTGAAATCCTCTAGAATATTTTCTTTGCTCCTCTCATAGATGCAAATGCACTAGCATACACCAGAGGAAATTTCCCTTGTAACATTTCTGCCCATTTTCCTGCATAGAATGGTTTGGGTTGGAAGGCATATTTAAAGGTCATTTAGTCCTTACCTCCTGCAATGACAGGGACATCTTCAACTAGATCAGGTTTTTTAGAGCCCTGTCCAACCTGACCTTGAATGTTTCCAGGGGTGGGTCATCTACCAGCTCTCTGGGGAATCTGTTGCAGTATTTTACATTGTAAGAAATTTCTTTCCTGCACCTATTCTGAATCAACTGTCTTTTATTTTAGAACCTTGTATCCAATGTCCTATCACTGCATACTTTTCTAAATTATGACAGTACTAAGAGAGTTAAGGACTGTTCCACCAGTGTTAGATTTTTATTACAAAACTCAACAAAACCAACGAAATTACATCATACAGATGTACACATCCTGGCAAGAAAACTGCACCAGAGGCATATAGGACTAACATTTGTATGCCTAGATTGAGTCCAAATTTTCCAAAGATATCAGTTTAATTTGCTGCATCTTTCAATAGTCATAAAATGGGGGAAAAAAAAAAATATAAAATATTTTGCTTAAAATACAGTAGTACAAACGCCCATACCTGTATCTGGAAAGGTAACAATAATTCTTAAAGCAATGCTGAAAAACAATCTCCTAATATGTGTTCAGATAAATTTCATCAGTGTCATTGCTAAATCGTAATAATGACCAATAGCATATTTTTTAAGGCTATGCAAAATGAGCTGGTGACTTAAACCAGTAGATTCTGGATAAGTATCAAAAAAAAACCCAAAAACCTCATCAAACTTTTTAGTTCCATAGAAAGTTTCAAAATGCCCTCCAAGTAAAAAATGGTTGTGGAGCCTGAAATATGAAATATGCTACCACTAAAAATAAAAGTTTCTGGAGTGTCACTATCAGATCTGAAAATACACAACACAAACACATTGTTGTTCTCGAGGTAAAAAGGGTAGTTTATTTTTTGACTCTAACATTTATAGATTTCTGAAAGTGACAGTGGATTGGAAGGTGAAAGTGTCACCTCTCCAATGACACTGGACAAACCAAGAGTCTATCAAATTTCTCTTCTTCCATAAAAGAACGCAAAACAAAAAGTTTTGCAAAAAGTGTGTGAGAAATTTTGTTACAAGAATATAAACATCAAAAAGTTTAGAAAATCTTAAAAAATCAGAACAATACTGGAGATCAACTCCAGTGCCTGCAATAAATACATCACTAACATAACTGAGCAGTGTAGACGGTTATTTCAAGCTTTGGAAAGACGGCTGAAATAATATTTTTATTAAAAAATTAAAAAGAATAGAATTTTTAAGAAAAAATAAAAGGTAAAGAGATTATTTAAAACAGAAAAATTAGCACTCATCTAAATCCTAATATATGCCATATATTAGGATCTGCAATATTATGGAAATATAACACATGGATGTGAAAAATGTCCACATTTGGGATTAATTTCTGTATTTTGAGTGTTTAGATGGCATCATTATTTACAAACTTTCCATGAAGACCACATCGATTAAAATATCAGTGTGCTTAATGAAATGGTAGGAAATGTATCCCACTGCACATAGTTGAAGGAAATAATCCAAATGATAGATCTTTAGTCATACAACTTTTTAGGTCTCAACAAGTTGTCTTCAGTAATACTAGCATAGAAAGTAAAGGCACAAGTTCATCTCATCAGAATGCTCACCAGAGTGAGCAGATAAACCCAGTGAGCTCCTTAACACATTTTAGACTTCTTCACTCACAAACAAGTGTTATATGAGTGTATGTGAGGACAAGAAACTTAGGATTCTGTCCTGTGTTCTTCCTCTGTCATCTGCCCTGCAAGTAAATTAGCTCTCTATTGGACTCCCTTCCCTTACCTGGAGTAAGGAAAGTTCATCTTCAGAAAGAAAAACCTATGCAACTTAGAAGCACTTGCTACAAGCAGTCCAGATAAAAGAAGTTTATTCTCCCTATACAGTCTTCTTAAATCCCTAAAGACCTTCCACCCTCCGATATTTTCATGATGAATCATAAGACAAGCCACATGCATTTGGTGTCATGCTATAGGAACCTCACCCCACTGAGGTCTGACAGAGTCTCACATGATTTCAGACACTTTGAACTGAAAAATGACAGAAAATTTGTTTCCTGTACTCAGAGAGGTCTAAATGAGCACTATGCAGTGGGGAAATAACCCACATCACATAACTTGCCCCGAGGGCTTGAGAGCTTAGAGTCATAATTAATGCATTGAAATGACTACTAAAAGACAAAACTTCAAAAAACATATAGTTCAGTTTTGAACAACAATCATGAGTTAGGTAATGTTGCTAAGAGCTTGCGGCTATCCTTTAAGAACAAAAAGAGCTTAGTTATCAAATATATTTTTGTTCTGAAAATGATGTGCTGAACTATAAATGTAATCTGAGCAGAACATTCTCCATCCAAGTTCCAGCCCTTTTTGAAGTCCAAAGAATCTTCAGGTCAAAAACTTTGAAAAATGAATATTTTATGTGTCTTCTATTAAATTCTTAGCTTGTTCTGTGTCTCTCTCTTTTCCCTTCAACTAGAGCAGGAGATTTTTTCAGGTAATCTCATTTTAAAATGTAAAATCTTCTTAGTGGTATAAAAAATAGTTATTTTTCCTCATCTCATTTAGTAAGCATCAGTTGTTGTTATACTTTTGTTGTGCCATTTATGTCTTATAACTGATATAAAAAGATCCTTAAG